CTGGCCAAGGTGAAAACGCCTTCCGGTCATGATGCAGTAGGCCTATTAGGCCACACCCACCCAGCAACCAGGCAGAGAACCCGTTGCTGAAATTTTTGAAGCCCACCCCTGGATAACAATCAAAAGAGATAGAAGAAAGAAAGAGAATGAGAGGTTGAATCCAGACTTTATTTTGTTTCTAAAATGAAAATAAAAGAGCAGTACAAATATGCTTTGGCATGAGAAAGAGAAGACTTGTCTAGGAGTGTTTTATTCAATTCCCCCCTACTTCCTCCCCCATTTCTTATTTTTCTAAGAGTGAAAAAAAAAGCAACCACTCAACTAAGAATAAAATTCTCCCAAATCATTCAAAAGCAAGACATCCCCAATGCATTTTGCAAACAGTATGTCTATATTTATAAAGATATGGCGCATTATAGCATCATTTATATTAAATAGCTCTCCTTGAAAATCCCATATCTAACATTTATATACATGTCAAGTATTAGAAATAGATGTTTTTTTAGAGTCACTGTTAAAAAATAGCAAAACACAAGTTCTGCTTTGTAACTTCCTAAGCAAAAGTACAATGTTGTTGGTTCCCCGCACCCACCCATTTTTTCCAGTGCCTATTTAATTCACTACAAATAAATAGAATAGATGGCTAGAAAATAAATAGGAAGAAAACACTGTCCATGGTACAAGGGTTCTTCATTCGCAGAGTTGCAGCAGCTACCCCTCCTGGCATTCCAGATTGTGTTGCCTTTATTGCAAACTGTTGCACCTTACACTTTCGAGGAGAGGAAAAAACAAAACAGAAGACTTCTCTCCAGCAATGTTCTGCCTTTAGACTAAAGTTCAATGACAGAAAGAAGAAAAGCAGAGCAGCTCTTTGGCAAATGATAGGCAGAGTAAACAGGTGGTGCTGCAGGGTCCCAATCTGAGGCTGTGAGCCCGAAACTTAACCAGGGAAGCTTCCACTGGCTCAGCTTTGCCCTCAGGGGAAATTTCAAAAGCCAAGATGGCGGCTGCAACTGCACAACAGATGCCTCCCCCTTTTTTTACATGCATTGTAATAGATATAGAAAGGGATGGGCCTTCCATTGCAAGGGTGAGGCTGCCATTTTGACTGTTGTTTTGATGCCCCTCCCTCCACAGATTCTCCCACTTCTGTTTTTTTCCCCATCTATTAATTAACTTTGTTCCCTGCCCTGCAGCATCTTATTTATTCTGATGCAAAGCCAACAACTTTTGTGAGTTGTTTGTAATTTTTGGTTTTCGATTTACCACAAACCATCAATACAAACTGGTTTGCTCTTTGGGGTGTTCTGAAAACAGGTTTTCTATCAGAGCAACAGAGTCTTAATTTTTTTTTCTCTTTCTCTGAACCATTTTTCACCTCTTGTGACTTCAATTTGTCCCCTCATGTCCACCTCCAACAGTGTCCTAGCTGGAAAAACTATACAACTGTCATTATTAGGGGAGGGAAGTGTCAGAGAAGCATTTAATACAATTGACTTTGTATCGAGTACTCCAATTGTCACATACCACTGTTGTTCATATTTGGGGTTCATTTTTTTCCCACCCTGATTTTATCTTTGTCTTCCCTGACAGTAATGTCCTGAGAAAGTTCTTAGCAGGCAAGAGCAGAAACAAATACCCCCTGTTTCAAGATAGGAACAGAAATATTATAAAATGCTAAAATCATGTGAGTATTCTTATACATAAAAGGACTACCGTTTGTCATATTTATTACACAGAATCACTTGTGTTGAATGGTTGGTTGGGAAATGAATCCGGGCCCATTTACATAATCCTTCAGAGATATCACAATTTTGACTGCTTTCTAATTATTTGTTTGTCCGTAGGATTCATCCAAATGATTCATTGAATGTGTGAGAGAATCATTGATGGGTTTTGATTTAACAAAGCCACTGGATAACTAGTTCTTCTTTTGACTTTATTTCATCTTGTAGCATGGGACAAAAATATGTCTGTTATCTTTAAAATACAGAAGCTGGTGGAATTTAATATTCCCTGGACACAAGCTTCAACTTGAAAAAGACCCTGAATTATGCATAAAGAAGTATGTTGAAAATACCCTGATTCCTTACCACAGCATTATCTGATAAGGGCTGCCAGCAGAACATGCCCTGGAAACTCAAAATAAAACCCTAATTCATATCATTTTATTGTGTGAATGTACACCCTACCAATAATAACAGGATTTAAAAACAGCTGTCACCTATTACGTAGTTTGAACAAGACTTAGATGTGACTCTCTAGAATGGAGTTGATTGAAAAAGACATCATGAACTTCACTGAAAATAGCTTATATCATATTGTTTCCTTGCATGGATTTTGGCAGCATTCACAAGGACAGAAGGAAAACTTTCTGGACCATATCAGTCTGCAGAGGAACATATTCAATAGCCTTAGGACTGCAGATCCTTCTCAAATTGTTGTTGAACTGTAAATGTTAATGAAATGTGGAGGTAAGATTATTCGACATAAGGCTAGCAAACAACCACAAGAACTACATTAAATTGAATTGCATTAAAATAAAACCAAACAAATGTTAGATGTTGCATTGCTCCTCTTCTGATTCCACATACCTCATATAGAAATATCACATTAAGCTGCTGTAGCTAAAAAGATGTTTCCAGGAATCTGACATGGAGGCTGCACCTAAAGGTCAGCTGAATGGAGCTGACTGTTTACTGGCCAGATGCCCTTCCTGTCGCCAATGCGGAGTTCCTAGCAGATATATTCTCATTATGCCCAGAGAGATAAATATCTGCTTCTACCTATCATTGAATGCACAACCTCCTGATTGTGAGGCGAGAGCTCCCCCTCTAGGCCACTGCACCACTCAAACCAGCAAGGGGAATTGATTTAAACAAACCTTTAATGACAAGAAGGGCTGTGTTTAGAAGGGCTCCTTACAACGAGGCATGTGTGTCCCCTCTTTCCTGGTGTGGTGGGAAATATTGTGTGGTTGAAGATATAGCTTGCAGCAAAGGCACAAGATATGGGAGGGAATTATAGTAGCGGGATAATGCAGCCATAGATGGAACAACTACACTAGCAATGGAAAATACAGATAAATTTAATTTCCATTGGCGTGTACTTGTGACAAATCTTCCCAAGAAATGCTGGCCATGCCATAGTCAGTCTGCACACAATATAAGATGCTCAGATGCTACATGCTATCTGGAAAGCAGAGAAGAAGGTGGGGGGGGGAACATGGGCCTGTGATGAATGTTGTCTTGGATCTCCAGGTCTTAACTAGTGTTTTCCCAATAATTTGAAAGTCCTGCCATTTCCTGGCTGGGACAATAAGATTTGTAGATTCTCGAAACATTGCAGCACATTTCCATGCAATTAAATGGACTATACAAATTCATCTCTGGGGATATTTTAGTTTGTTTCTGTATTGATTTATTTATTTTGCAGAAAAGCAAAACAAATAAAAAAAATAAGTCATGCAGCAATGGGGAAAAGGAAGAGGCATTTTCATAATCTAGAAATGGGATTTAGTACATGCGGGCTCAGCAGGGAATACTGACAAGAATCTTTTCTGACAGGAATTTTCTCTCGGTCAGAACCTTTGGCATATTATGCAGTGTGTAGAGGAGATAAACTACTTGCTGTTCCCACTGCTGAGGGAGATCGTATCCTTCAGACAAAACAGCTGATGAAATTAAGTGAAAGATTCATATTCTAGAGGTTTTTTTGGACCAGCTTCTGGAGAACACAACCTGCTTCCTGTACTCTGACCAATGTTAAGGCAAAACCTGCCACATCGTTCCTATGCATTACTATATAGACTAATGAACAGAAGTCCCCTTCCTTACTGGTCACCTATCTTGTTCAGAAGTCTTACTGAAAATTCATTGTAAAACTCAGGTTCCAATAAAAGCTACTTTGCTAGCAGGTTCACATAGAACCTGGCTTTTCTTTGATGGATGTACGTGCATGATTCATATGTTTTACCGATATCTATAGAGAATATGCCATATTTCTGTATAATATTTAGGTGTACACCACAACATTAGTTTTGGAAAGTACCTTAAACGGTAATGTGTGCTACCAGCTTTATGATGGGTAGCAGACAGTCCCCTCCCTCCACAATGAGGGAGAACACCAGCATGGACTGAACTGAACACAACCTTTTTTGGCATGGAATAAATTAGGTTCTGTAAACAAAGAATGTGTCTCTAAAAGCAGCAGTCGGAAGAATGAAATATCAGATGTTCAAGAGTAATATATTGCTTACCAATAGTGAGTAGTAATGACTCCATCTTTGAGTTTGTTTGAGAAGAAATAGAAATAGCTAACAAGCTGCTAATGGGTACTTCTGTGCCTAGGTTGATCTCCCTTAGCATCCAATTTAATATTTTCTTAAAAGCTTAAGAAATATTAAACATTTCAATGTGAAAAGTAACATACTGTGAAGCCTCTGTTACTTCTCTTTATAAAATGTTGGGCATCATGTAGGCCCCATAAAATAAAGTTTTCAAGTTAAGTTTCATCCCTGTGGATGCAGAGAGACCTCTAAATCATTTTCTCATAGAAGGGGTTTTCAGTTTCCTGTTTAACCTTCAATAGTGGGATGCTTCAGGGATTCTCCTATCCAAATACTAACCATGTCTGACCCTGCTTAATTTGTCTTAGCTCAACCAATGAATATGTGATAGAAATGTAAACATTTAAAAAAGGACAACTCTCTGAGATATGAATTGGCAAAACCCTTCTGTCTAGTATTTGAGATGAAAAAGAAGACGCCTCAAGGGCTGAGAATTAAGCGATCGAGAAATTAATGATCAGAAATGTGGAGTCCTTGGTGCTTTCTGAGTTAGGTTGTTTGAAAATCTATATCATTACCCATCTAGGTAACAAATTGTTATCTAGTTGGACAATGAAATGTCTGCAAGCAAGCCATCCAGCTCAGAGAGCATCAAAGACTTTACAGCTCAAGCCTGAGCTACAGATATTCTCTTCTATTGTAACTTCAGAAATGATTCTTCTTCTTTTTAGAGATGTTAACTTCTCATCTCTTTCTTCTCAGCAGTCTACCATTGATGGCTAATTGGAGAATCATTGGTAGCAAACTATGATAGTGTGATCCCACACTTAAGCTTCATTTCATGTTTTCTATTCTGGTTTCATTTCGAAGCACTCTCAAGGTGCATGGGTCAGAGAGTTTTATTCAATAAAACAAGAATATACTGAACCCAAATATATTAGTACATGTTCTCCTATCGCAAGAACCTTCAGAACTTTTCCTAATCTTGGGTACCTCTTATACTCTTCTCAACCAGCTTCAACTCCTAAGGAGACACTCTGGAAGCCTCAACTGCCAGTCAGCCCTCCAGCCAGCTCTGGCTTCACACTTTTGTCAATGTGATGCTGTGCCAGTTGCTTCTAATACTAAAGTCACGTGAGCAGGAATGACAATAATAAAAAAGCTTTAGCCTAAGACCAGCTTAGCCTAATTTGCTCACTGATGCAAGTGCCCATTTGAGCCAGAAAGCCTAGTTGCTTTGTGAGCCTCTCGGCAGAATCTGTCCCAGGAAGGAAGAGAACGGAGACAGCACTGGGTGTGACTTTTAGCTGAAATCACACATCTTTGTTTATCTCTTGCTGATGCAGCCAAATGAACATAACTTAAGGGTTAATGTAGCTTTCCCTTTTTAACTGTCTGCTAAGAGAAGACAGGTTGTTGCATTCATGGATCAGATGCTAGATGTTTGCTTTTCATTCTGCCACCTTTACTAGAATCAAATTTGATCATATTTATATATTTTAAGGATGGTCCTGAATTTAAGAATTCCCCTCCAAAATGGGAATAATAGATACAAAGATTTCCCAGGAAATCTAGAATTATGCTTCTATTTAAAGATAAATTATTTGGGGGGTGGGAATGCCTTTAACTAACTTTATATATCTCTCCTCCAAATTCTCTTTGCATGGGTCTCTTTAATATCCTACCTCATGCCTAGTTATTGTCATGGAGAATTTTAAATGATCAATGTTTAAAGATAAACAACATACTGTATATACATTATTATGGGGGCAGTATCCTTGCTTTGAGGATCCTATTATATATTCTTGCTCTGCTGGGAAGAATCCAATTAATGCAAATATTTAGTTATGGCTCCCATTAGAGTATATTTTTGAGCCCACCTCCAATCACTGTAACCATCTAAGATACCTCAGAGCTGTTTTAGAGTGGAGGACCTAGCACTTGAAGAAATATGAGAGGAAACACAGAACGTGTCCCCTATCATAGAGAAAATAGCCAGCTCATGAGAGTAGCAAAATTCATTCACTAGTTTTGGATCTTGACATCTCTGCTTAAGCAATTTCCCCAGGTTATGAACTAACAATTGCATCAGGAGGCGAAAAGCATATTGGATTTCTTTAATGAATCCCACTAGCTTTCCTTATCCCGATGCCCTCAAGACACAAAGTAACAAACTGAGATGGGGACAAGGGGGGAACGAGGCTGGATTACGTGTTTCAATTGGCCATTGAAGTATTCTTCTAATGGGGTCAAACGCTAGAAAGAGAGCACTGGAGAAGAATCTAAACCTCATCTTTCCCACAATAATCTTACTCTGTGCATTGTTTCATTATGGATTCAAAGATGCAATTGCATGCTAGGCTGAAGAAGTCCAGTGAACAATTCCATCATATCATCATATGTTTTGCCTCGTACAATCAATGACAGAAATACTGGCCTAGCCTATGAGCAAACATGTGGATTATTCTTAAAGTCGTAAGGAATTATCCAAGGCTGAATGGTTGGTTTCCAATTAAATCAACTCTGCCGGGTTAGCTGTAAAACCTCCAGGTTAGCAAACTGGCTTTATCCCCCTTCGGTGCAGTGAGGCCCATGATACACACCCCTAATCTGATTTGTAGAAATGCAGTAACTTTTAGAGGACATTGCACATCCTAGGAGAATAGAGATTTGGGTTACAGAGAAATGATGAGATTTGAGTAGGCTCTGCCTTCACATCGCATCAGACTCTTGCTGCACCATAGCGTAAAGATGTCTAAGCCAAGACAGTGCTGGAGCTGCAACCTTGTCAAGAAGTTAAATATTTCACATACTCAAAGATGGTGGATTTGAGGGGGGAAGTATACTGTGGTGGCGTTCCTCTCTGGGAGCCTATGAGAATGGGGAAAAGGTCTACAAAGGGGAAAATATAGAAGACATTTTTTGAAATCTATTCAATGGGATTTAGGGATAATAAGAAAAGGGAAGTTGGGCAAGGTTTTGAGAGTGGATTTGCACGTGTGAAAGCTTTGCAAAAGAGCATAAGGGCTTTGTTGTGTACACATGAGCATGGAAATACACATGGGATACTGCTTTTGCACAGTGTTGTACTCTGGAGGGTGGTAGAGTCATAAATGTCACTTGTGGATGGGATGCAATGAATAAGAAGCTGCTTTTGCTGGTATTTGGCCCAAACCATGTAGCAAAAGCCACTGGGTGTACATACTCATGCCATTTGTAACTGATGTCTTTTGTGTATTAACTAATCAGGAACAGGTTCTTCATTCCTCTATAAGATTTCTAACTTCTCCTACCTAAAGGTTTTCCCCTTTAGGGATGGCCCTTCAATGGCAAGCAAGCAAGGAAACCCCTTCTTTCCCTTTGAAATGGATGGAATAAAATAAACAAGGGGGGGGGAACCTGTACTTAACATCATTTCCTCTCCTTTCACCCCACTTTATTGGACTGGCCTGGGGGTGGGATGTAAGGTCGTTCCATCAGTCCTTGGCACAAATTAATTGTACGCTCCATCTGAGAGCCACCTGACCCTGTTCTACACACTTTTACAAGGGTGCAAAGCCTTATTTTTAAGTTTCACATTTTGTGTAGTTGCTGCAAAACACGTTTAAGATTTCCACCAGCAACAGGAGCGCTGAGCCTCCTTCTCGGGGGAGAAGAGACAACTTAGTGTTGCCAGACCTTTGGAAGGACAACTTGGATTTCTCCCTTCTTGATCATCAAAAGAACTTAACAGAATCCACTACTAGATCTTGATCAGTTCAGTTTCCCTAGGAGATTGCCCCTCATAACCAACCCGCTGCTTGATCCATCAATTTATTGTGCACTCCCTAAGGAGCATGCTCTTCCTCCCTTCTTATGGTTAAATTATTTTTTATAAATTCTAAGTTGTATCTCCACCTGGGTTTTCATGCCCGCTTCTTTTTTTTTCAGTAGTGAAGGAGAGTTTGTAAAAGGGCTCCTAGTCTTTACACAGAACTTCGCCGCTTCATAAGTCCTTGGAAGGCTGAGAGGCTATGAAGTCCTGTGGAAACAGAGCTGATGGCTGAACGCTGAGTGTTGCAGAAGCATCTGTTGGATGGAGTCTCTGGGTAATGCCCAGGGGAGGAGTGGCTCTGTTCCATGCAGGTATCAGAGGTGGAGAGGTCTCTGGGGATTATCATGGGGATAGAGTACTGCAGCTTCTCCCGACTCTTATACCAGAGGCAGGAGCACATGGACTGGAAGTGGAGAACTTCAGCATAAACATTTCGGAGTCCTCCTCTACCGCTGCTGCTTCCACCACCCCCTATGCCCCCTAACGCAGCAGCGGTCGAGGATGTAGTAGTGTCTGTAATATGTACACTGCTGGCCTGTCCATTACGGGTGAGTAGCGCCCGGTGTTCCGCATCCCGCTTTTCATCCTCAGCATTCATGGTCATGAACCGGAGCACCACCAAGTTGAGAAAGGCCCCAATGACTGTCAGCCCAGTTAAAATGTAGATAAAGCTGAAGGCCACATATTGGGGCTTGGTCTGGAGGGCATGTTCTTTCTGAAGGGCCACATAATCTCCAAAACCAATGGTGGTGAGGGTGATAAAGCAGTAGTAGTAGGCCTGGAAGAAGGTCCAATTCTCATAGTAGGAGAATGCGGCAGCCCCAATGCAAAGGGTGCTGATGCAGGAGAAGAATCCAATGGTGACCATATTGGCCATCGATACTTCTGGCCGTTTCATGCCAAGGCACTTCTTGATGCGGTGCAGGAGGTACCTCACAAAGGTGTTGATCCTCTCACCCAGACTCTGAAACATGACCAGGGTGAGTGGGATTCCCAGCAGCGCATAGAACATACAAAAGACTTTCCCACCATCAGTGCTAGGGGCCGCATGTCCATAGCCTGTGGAACAAAAAAAACAAAGCAAAGGCAACCTGGTCAGTAGCTCCTCATAGATTTCAAAAACCATTTTCATGGGAGAACAGAGGAAGAGTTTTCATTCTGGCTTGATAGATGATAGGTGTGCCACTTCCTCATTCAAAGTGTTGATTGAAACAAGGGAGGAATCACAGCTGGATGGGGTGCTGCTCTGGCCTGCAAACTCAGTGGTGTAGCAATTTGTACCAAAGTCCTCCTCTTCTGGTCCATGTGCGCCTGCTTTTGGTTCAAGAGCCAGGAGAAGCTACAATAATCCATCACCGCATTGCACCCACAACCCTCTATCCTCACAACCTCAGCACACAAAGCCACACCACCAAAGTTTGCAGGCTGAAGCTGCCTCCATTCAAAACAAGGTGCACACACACACACACACACACACACACACACACCAGTGGTGGGTTCCGGGTGATATGTCCCGGTATGGCGTACCAGTGGCTTCTGGGAGCACCATACTAGAGCGGTGCTTTGGAGGCCCCACTTGCCCACCCTCGTTCCTTACCTGTATTTAAGCCAACCAGGCTATTTGTGCACATGCGTGCAGTGTATGGCGCCTGTGTGATGCTCCGCCAAACAGTTGGAGCATTGCAGGGTGGTGGGTGCGCACATGTGCGCAGCGTGCATGCTCTTGGTAGACACCTGGCCCCGTCGCAGTGTACCGGTTGCGATGGGATCCAGAACCCAACACTGACACACACACTAAAGGGAAGGGTGGTGATAGTAAAAGGGTGGTACAGGGAAGAACAACGATTAAGGGATTTCAACTGAGTTAACCATACAAGGATCTGAGAGTTGATCAGAATGTGTATTGAAAGCATCATTGAGATGTCCAAGTAAGGAGAATGTAAAACTGGAGGAGGAAACTATTATACTCAGTATAATTTATCAATTGAAGAGTTGATTAACCTCTTGATAGGGGTCTCCAACCTTGGAAACTTTAAGAATTGTGGATTTCAACTCCCAAAGTTCCTCAGCCAACTCTGGGAGTTTTAAGTCCACAATTCTTAAAGTTGCCAAGGTTGGAGATCCCTGCTCATGAACACATTCAAAACCAAGTTGGACAACCTATGGCCCTGCAATGCGTTCAGTGCCTTTTGTGGCGCAGTGGTTAAATGCAGCACTGCAGGCTACTGCTAGATCAGCAGGTCAGCGGTTCAAATCTCACCGGCTCAGGGTTGACTCAGCCTTCCATCCTTCTGAGGTGGGTAAAATGAGGACCCAGATTGTTGGGGGCAATATGCTGACTCTCTGTAAACCGCTTAGAGAGGCCTGAAAGGCCTATGAAGCGGTATATAAGTCTACTGCTACTACTGCTATTTTTCATTCCTCAAAGGCCCCTTGAAATATGATTACCAAAATGTGACAACAGAATTTCAACCTTATGAGGAGGGAGGTTTCAACTTGGAAGTTAGAAAATAAGAATAAATGCAGTTATTATTCTTCACAGCTAGCGGATCAGCAAAAGAATAGCACTCACATGATCTTTACTATGTGGATGTCAACCAATGCTGAGAAATAGCTCACTATTATTTCCAAGAATAATTAACAAGAACAACCACCTCAAGAAATTGCCCAGAATTGCTGTGAGTTGGGTGACATATACATAAATACCACCACCATCCATCATCATCATCATCATCATCATCATCATCATCATATCATCCAGACAAAATCTGTGGTTACAATAGATTAGTAGAATATGAATTAATACATTCTTGATCCAACCCAAATATAACCTGTTAGAGGTTCAAAACATTTCCCAAACACCTTGAAAATAGTTAATGTTTCCATTTATTTGACGAATTCAATACTAATTCAGACTTTTCTGGGCCAGTAGTTACCTGTTTTTTCGGGACGGGGGGATCTTTATTTGTACAAGATCATAGGAAGAAATTATTCCCTTTCTTTCCAAATCTGAAACTATATCCTTTTAGCATTAAAAAAAAATCACCCAAGTCATAAGATAATAAAAAAAAATGTTCCGTTTACCATACCTGCATTAAACAACCTATATTTGATAAATATACAAACATCAGGCCAACAGGTCTTAATGTGATTGGATGGGGATTATAAGAACTGTAGCCCAACACATCAATTTCATTCATAGCAGAATTGGTAAGTAATTAGCATTTTATTAGATAGACCAATAATGGACAAATCTTTAAAGGTATAGAAGCTGTTTTTCAGCTTCTATTCCTATAAGGATGCTTAGGAATAACAGCCAATCTTGCCAGAATACTACTATATTAGCAATGTTGTGATGGCAGTTATACAAAGCAGCATCTGGTTGAACAGAATGTAGTTTTCCTTGAGGACTGAGGACCAGAACTAGTTTTATGAAATATGTCTGTTCTGAGAAAACCTAGTCAAAATTTGACAGAAAAATAGATGGGAGCTCCCAGATGTGTTGGAAATTGCTAAGGAACCTGGCAGTGAATTTTGGTCTACTAGTAAAACTACAGTAAAACTTTGATTTTATGGAGATTTCAGGTGCACTAGGGGAAAAAATAAGTATGGACTTCACATAAACAGATAGGCTATTCTTTCTGAGACAGTCTGGACAATTAACATAATGCATGTCATTTGCCTCAGTTTAAAGTGTTTGCAGTTACATGATGATGCAAATTATGTAGGATATCAATTACATGATGATTCAAATTAAGTAGGATATTAATTATATAATGATGCAAAAAACATTAACGCAAGTAGCATCAATTATGGCAATTATCTAAATTTGGATTTAACAGACATTCAGCTTTAATGAAGGAAGATATCCCTTCCTTCACTAATCTAAAAAATGGAGGCACTGCTTTCTGTTTCCTCCAAGGCTGCCCTTGGATAATATAGAGCACTGTTTTTCAAACGTGGAAACTTCCAGATGTTTGGACTTCAAATCCTCAAATTTCCCCAGATGCTGGCTGGAGAATTCTTGGAGTTGAAGTTGACACATCTTAAAGTTGGCATATTTGAAAAGCAAGGATATAGAGCAGGGGTATCAAACTCAAGGCCTGCAGGCCTAATGTGGCCCACAGGTTGCTTAGATCTGCCCTGGAAACAGCAAAGGACCAGCCCCTGATATAGAGGATTACCACACATGCAACCTTTCCTTCCTCCCAGTTTGGTCCACCAGGGCTAAAGCTATTCTAGAGTAAAAGGACTGAAGAAAACATAAACTCTGGTGGTGTCAGCCTCTGTTTTGCTGCTTGTTTTTCGTCTGCCATTGAAATGGGGAGGGAGGGCATGGTATTTGGGTGAGGGAAATAATCTATACAAGAGGACTGTTAATTGGGAGTTGTTCTCACCATCGTTTGCGCATGTGGAACGGAGGGGAGTTTCCCGCCAAGGCCAACTGTCCGGCATACCAACCTGATGATGATTTTTGAAGATGTCTCCCACCTGACAGCTGTGGAGATATTGGATTGGACTATGGACTGGGGTTACCAAGGGGAGGAGAATGGGTCATGTATGGATATCTAATGCTTTCGTGCGCTTTTGCTCAGGTCCAGCTTTGCTTAGCTTCTATTTACTTATAATCAGTAAAAGTACTCTTAATTCTGCAAAATGGAGTTGAGTGGTTTCTTTCTTGGTTATTAAATGAAGCAGCAATTGACAGGTGGATTCAAATGACTATTAAGGGGGCAACGAAGAATGAAAAAACATATCCCCAAGCCAAACTGCTTCTTTTTGGATCAGGTCTGATTCTCACGGGAACCAGTTGCTGGTTAAGAGTGTAAGAAAAATGAATCTTTAAAATATGAGCAACATCCACTATAGAACTCTATTAAGCTCCTGCAATTTTTGTACTACAAAATGTCAACGCCTATTAGCAATGGTTTGGGAGAAGCAATATTTCAACAAATGAACAAAACCGTGGATATTAATAAAAAGTTAATAGTGCAAATCAAAACAGTCATGACTTCTCTGCTTTCAGAAGCCAGAACCTGCGTTATCTGCAGCAGTTTCATAAAATATAAAAATATAATTAGATTTGAATTATACTGAATTTGCTTGTTTAATGGAACAAAGCCTTTGAAGTAGAGGCTAACAGCATCTGTTTATTTAAATACTTAGTGGATTTTTTTTAAAAATGAAGCATGTTGACTCATATTCTCTAGTTCCTCCTTTCTCTAGTGCAGAGAGCAGAAAACCAGGAACGATGGAGTGAATTTATGGAAGAAAGTATTTCCATTGCCTGAAATGGTTTCTTAAGTTTTGTCTTTGTTCTGATCCACATCACACCACACTACATAGGCAGATTGTAGGTCTTCTCCTCTGCATTATATGTGAAGGAAAGCCGCTTATTCAATTTTCTTATTTTTAAAAGATTGCTAATGCGCAAAATGAAGAGGACGCCAATGGGAGTTACCTTTCTGCAGAGTACTTTGTTCTTCAACATGCAAAAGTACTAAACAAAGTCAACAGGTGTAGATTTAAAATGTAACATACCAAGCATACCGAATGCAAGTTTTCTGAAGAAAGGAAATAAATATGAAAATAATTGAATTGGAATGCAACTGAATTCATAGATCACCACTGATCTCCTCATCTGTAGATATGAACGTGTGGACGTAGTGATTCTCTTTGCTGTCCTCTTGGACAAATATATGGAAATCAGATGGAGATCAGAGTATTCAACCCCTTGTTTCTATAAGTCTAATTCACATTCACAAATATGTTTTTTTTTATTGCATAACCTGCCTTCTGAAACACCTCATTGCATCCCCTAGGATTAGATTGGTCTGGACCTTGCCAGCCCTTTATAAAGTATTGAAGAACTGGAAGTGCCCCAGAGTTTGGAGGCTGGGAAGTCAGATGGTCTGTTGAGAGGTTTTTGTTGATAGCGCTGTTGAGGTCTATCCTCAGTGCTCACTATAGCTTTTTACTCTTTCTTATTATTTTAAAATTGTTTTCATGTGTTGTTGCCTACCCACAGTAGCATTTATGAGATGAGT